CAGTGTTGTCCGATACAAAATGTTTTTACATATGAAGAGGTCCTATCCTGACAGTATCATTATGCCTTGTTTTGATATCGACTTTATTTGGCATACACATCTGCTTAATCCATTGTCATACAAATCCGATACAATGTTAATACTTAGAGAGCACTTCGGTCATGACGATTCGGTAAATGATAGGTTGGAGGGATCTAAATTGTGCCGGTCCATGAACGAAACTCAAATTATGTGGGAGGAATTGTACAAAGAAAGATTTACTAATATAGCCACTATGTACAGGGGATTATCTCCAAATGGAAAGCTGAAAAATGTTTCAAAAGATCCGAATTAACATTTCACAAGGGAAAAGTCCTATCATGTGTACTGCCTGAGTATATTGAACGGCAGGGACTTGTAACATTGCCACGATTACCTGGGGGTGTTGACAATGTCTGCTCCATCGGTTTCCACAAGTATGCATTTATCATTCACAATAATTTTGTAAAATTTAGCAATAACTGAAAAGGTATCCAGTGCACTTTTCATATATGCAAATAACTTGAACCAATTTCAAACATATTTCATAAATGTAGTAGGTACAAGTAGAAATTAACCTTATGGTCTCCAAAATAATTATGTATATATGCTTTCTAAGATATAATCAGTGTGTCATTACTTCTTTTTAACAAAAACTTGCGATATAGTTATACTCCCGAAATCACTTGATGTCTGAATCTTTTTTTTTCCAGTAGGAGTTGGTAAAGATATTTACAATTTTCAATAAGTTAAAGCTTTTGATAGGTCGAACTAACAGTACAGGTGCTTGAGCAGCTGACAATACATTCTACTTTCATTTTGTTGGCCGAGTAAAACAAAACTCAGAATAGGAATACAAATATTTCAATTGTATTCTCCATTTCATCCTTTTTTTTATTATATCAGATTTTTTATAAACAGTTACGTTTGACTTATTTACAGAATGTGCAACACTTAAGCTTTACATGTCGTATTATACACAGTATCCCATTATTAATGTCAGCAATACTTGTTTTCTGTAAAAACAAGCTAAATGTGGTTTGCCAGTTGATTGGATTAGACCAACTACCAGTTTCTTCACAGGTAAAACATAAATGTCTCTTTACACAGCATGCAAATCTCAAAGAAGGTATGTTAACAGAAAGTCTGAATCTTGGTCTTAAATAATTTAATTTAATAATTCTCAGGAATGTAGACAAAGAGCTCTTACTGTGACGTTATAACGGGTTTGTAATAACATGAGCAACACGACGGGTGCCACATGTGGAGCAGGATCTGCTTACCCTTCCGGTGCACCTGAGATCACCCCAAGGTTTTGGTGGAGTTCTTGTTACTAACTCTTTAGTTTTCTATATTGTGTCTTATGTACTATTTATGTCTGTGTGTCTTTTTCTTTTTTGGCCATGGCGTTGTCAGTTTTGTTTTCGATCTATGAGTTTGACTGTCTCTCTGGTATCTTTCGCCCCTCTTTTATAATAAAATTGAGAATGGAAATGGGGGAATGTGTCAAAGAGACAACAACCCGACCATAGAACAGACAACAGCAGAAGGTCACCAACAGGTCTTCAATGCAGCGAGAAATTCCCGTACCCGGAGGAGTCCTTCAGCTGGCCCCTAAACAAATATATATACTAGTTCAGTGATAATCAACGCCATACTAAACTCCAAATTGTACACAAGAAACTAAAATTAAAAATAATACAAGACTAACAAAGGCTAGAGGCTCCTGACTTGGGACAGGCGCAAAAATGCGGCGGGGTTAAACATGTTTATGAGATCTCAATCCTCCCCCTATACCTCTAGCCAATGTAGAAAAGTAAACGCATAACAATACGCACATTAAAATTCAGTTCAAGAGTAGTCCGAGTCTGATGTCAGAAGATGTAACCAAAGAAAATAAACAAAATGACAATAATACATAAATAACAACAGACTACTAGCAGTTAACTGACATGCAAGCTCCAGACTTCAATTAAACTGATTGAAAGATTATGTCTTCATCATATGAATATCAGGCACAATCCTTCCCGTTAGGGGTTTAGTATCATATCATCATAACATATATGAGAAGAACATAACCTGTGTCATGCCAACAACTGGTTTTTAAATAAATGTGTTTAGTGCCGATGCAAAGACCCTATAAGTGAATCAATATTAACCATATAGCAGACAACAGCCGAAGGCCACCAACGGGTCTTCAATGCAGCGAGACACTCCCGCACCCGGAGGCGTCCTTCAGCTGGCCCCTAAACAAATATGTATACTAGTTCAGTGATAATGGCCGTCATACTAAACTCCAAATTATATACAAGAAACTAAAATTAAAAATGATACAAGACTAACAAAGGCCAGAGGCTCCTGACTAGGGACAGGCGCAAAAATGTGGCGGGGTTAAACATGTTTTTTGAGATCTCAACCATCCCTCTATACCTCTAGCCAATGTAGAAAAAAACAAACGTACAACAGTACGCACAGTAAAACTCAGTTTAAGAGAAGTCCGAGTCCGATGTCAGAATAGGAAACAAAAGAAAATAAAGAAAATGACAATAATACATAAATAACAACAGACTACTAGCAGTAACTGATATGTTCACTGGTTTGTGTTAATATGTCTTTTGATTGAGTTAAACCATTTCAATTGATATGGTATAGTGTGTCTTTCTATGTTGTGATGTTACACTATTGTTTTAAGTAAGAATGAAGGTTGGCACTTATTAAAACATTTAAACACGCTAGATTTGTTTGCACATGTCCTAAGTCAGGAACCTGATGTTCAGTGGTTGTCGTTTGTTGATGTGGTTCATAAGTGTTTCTCGTTTCTCGTTTATTTTTCTCATAGATTAGACCATTGGTTTTCCTGTTTGAATGGTTTTACACTAGTCATTTTTTGGGCCCTTTATAGCTTGTTGTTCGGTGTGAGCATATGCTCCGTGTTGAAGACTGTAATGTTGATGCAGTTCTGCAAAATGATGTTTTTGTCACATTCTTCACCATTGGTCAGAGAAGAACCAAATTAACTAATGAGTATTTATAACATATGCATACTTCATTTCCGATTGTTCTGGGTTTTCGTCGAAAATTTCAAACCACAAAATTGTTGGAATATCTTCTAGAAACTTTAGTTTTAAGATATTTTTCAGAATTAAATTGCATGTTAGTAAATACAACATGACGCGTATATATGTGCACATTACCTCTTTTCCTGATTACTGGTGGTATGATCTCTTATAATGTTCGTCAAATATAACAAGTTTTTTACTTGTCCCATTTGATGATCAGGTAATGTTTTAATTTGTTTGTTTTCGTTTTCGTTAATTTTACTAGTGTCACATCAATATCAATAAAAGAAATGTTGTTTTTCGTTGTATATTTGGTGAGAACCGTTTCAGAAATTTTCTTCTAGTAATTGTCGTCAAAACAGGCAACAACGTCCATACTCCATAAGTATATACTACAACTCACTGGAGAATTTCATAAAATTATCAAGCCCGACTAGACAGAAAGATGACTGAACACGGACCAAAAGTAAAGTTCATAGCGTTTATAGATATACGAAGATGTGGTATGGGTAACGATTAGACAACTCTCCATCCAAGTTGCAATTCGTAAAAGTAAACCAGTATAGGTCAAAGTACGGCCTTCAACACGGAGCCTTGGCAGCGGATTTAAACGTTTTAACAGCCTTAACTCGAAATAATAGTGTAAAATCACAACATAGAAAGACACACTATAAAATATCAATTGAAATTGCTTAACTCAATCAAAAGACATATTAACATAAACAAGTATACATACACTGAACAAATAAATTTGACCTATGACACAATGCAAATACAATATAAATAAAAAAAGGGGTGAGATGTAAATTAATAATAGAAATACAACTATAACTTTGGACAAAATGAAGTTAAATAAAATAACGTACACAGGTAAACATAATAATTTTATTGAATAGAGTACATGGAGTACGAAAATATTGTTTTATAAAAATAAATAAATAAAATAAACGATAACAGAAATAAAAATTTATCATCATACTAAATATTATCAAAGGTGATATATTTTAAAAATAGTGAGACGAGATATAACACGAAGTAAGTAAACATTGAATAACAGAACTGCATTACAAATTGTATCAACATGTCAAATCAACACGAACATACGATTTGAGAGTACTCACAGTTACCGAAAGATAGTTAACAGCCAAAAACAGTTAATAATAAAACATCCTGCATCAGGAACTGTATGTTCATTTGCACCAACGAGGGAAATACAAGAACATATGACTAAGAATATAGTCTTCAATATACATATACGTTCTCAAAATATCTAATAACTTTTAATTTGGCTTTTCTCTTTTTCTTTTTCGTTTTGATTTCTGCATGTTTAACGTGTATCTGTTATATATTACCAGCCTATTTAAAAGGGAGCGTCCGGTAAAATTTTCAATTGAAAAATTCACTTTATACAATTTTTTTTTCAAATCAATCCAATGACAGTTAACTACTTTAACTTGTTCTGACGGAATACTGGTAGTTTTAGCTATGCAAGGCGTAGTAAATTTAGTATCAAGCCTCCTCTTCCTTCGAAACTGTTACGGATACCTTTCCGAGCTGGTTGATAGTTTTGGAATATCTTTTTTTTAAATGACGATAGATTTTTGTACTATATTTGTTTCCACTGCAATAATACACAAGCCAGACAAAGGCGTGCTCGATAAATCCCCTATAAATCAATCTTTAATCATGTTACTTAATGAATAAAACATATTGCCAAAAGAAGAAGTTATACCAGTATGCATTTATCTATGTCACACTACGTCCTTACAGTGTTTTTACGACTTGCTAAAATTTTCATTATCATGACTATTGTGAACATAGTAAAAAAATTTAAAAATAACCAATTCATTTCTTATTTAAACCTTTTCTTTAAAGCGTTGCATTATTACAAAACAAATGTTTAAAAACCACAGAAGGCCTTTTAAATGAAAAAAAAACATGACATAGCAGTCAAATGGGTTCTTTTCATTTAAATGTTATGACATCACAATGGAGAAGGATAAATATAAAACCTTATTCTGCTAAAACCACTGTAGACTGAAACATATCTTGCTGTTCACCGTACGTATGATATCAGGTAAAGAAATTTGATTAAAATAGTTTTGCATATTAGTTGATGAGTGTAGTGCCAAGATTAAAATCTTTTATGGAGATATTTCATTCAATTTTAACTAAAAATGCAATTTTTTCGAACATTTTTATGTTATATTTTTTCATAAATCATTGGTTTTTTTCGATGACCATCTTCATTCTTGTAACATGTTTGAGGAATTGAAGAAAAGCAAAAGATAACTGGCAAAACTCACTTTATACTTACTTTTTTTTTAAACCGCAACTATTTATAATAAAATATGAAGCGTTGCCAGTAGAAACATGACATCAGAGTAACACGAATAAACACAAATTACACTGATTTAGAATTAAATGTACAGTTGAAACTTTTTTTCTTATTTCTAATCGTCAATTGTTGTTTTAAAATAGTGCTACTTTTTCTACAATATAGTATTTATTACGCAAATTTAACATATATGCTATATTGGTGTCGATTACATAAGGAAATGTTAAACGTAATTTGTCCAATTGATAAAGTGACAATTAGTAGTTAAAAGTATATCAATTGCTATTAACCGAGAGTATAGAATTTCAATGGTATAATCAACTGCGGTGTTCGACTTAGTATTATATTCTGGAAAATAATTATCTATTGTTACACAAAAAAAAAGAGAATAACTTATGTATAATACTGAAGACAAAATATGCCGGATTTTCAGAAACCTCGTGACTTTGAATGATTGTTATGCTTGTGTATGTTATTCTCAAATAGGCATACAAGCTCTAAAAACAAGCGCCTACCCCTTTTCAAATGTTTCAAAATCCTCAATTGATTGAAAGTTCTATAATCATAAATCAACTGTTTACAGCATTTTACGAAATATTATGGATTTTCTACCCTAGGAATAGATCACCTTAGCTTTATTTGGAAATATTTTAGGGAACTTTGGGTCCGCAATGCTTTTTAACACCGTAATTTGTTTGGCCCTTGTTTTTTTTCAACGTTTTTGATTTGAGAGTCACTGATTTATAAGGAGATAATAGGAAAACAAAATTGAAATGATCTATCAATAACTCCAAAGAAATGACAAATATGATAGTTCTATGTTATTCCCAAGCTCAGACGAATTTATACTGCCTTGATTTACCAGATTATTTTCGTATAGAATTCATTTGCTTGATGCGTTACCTGTAAATAAGTTATTTGAATTTAATTCTTCAAATCAAAACAAGTATAAACACCGGCTTCATTTGTTTTGGAACTAATGTCATTAGATAACAAATATACATTGTTTCATCAATTTGTTTACCTATATCGTATAAACCTTCTTTTCTAAATGCAATATAAAAAAAGGAAAATTCCTGCTGCAAAAGATATATTCAATATTGCAGTTATATATATAACTGGCTTTTTTTTCTTGTGAAAACTGATGACAAATGTCTACTTGGCTACTACAAATTCGACACACATGATTTTGTGTCAAAAATAATTTGCATTTGAATTTTTAATTGAACTGGGGGGTTTGATTCAATACATTTTTTATAGGGGACACACATTGAAATAAATAATAAAGGCTTTTCCACTGATGAAAGAAGGTAATACCTGAAATTCGACAAAATCCTAGTCTTCTGTTTATCATACTGATCTACGATATATATCCTTAAAAATTAAACTCTTCGACAGAAATTAAAAAAAAAACTGATGAAAATTGATGACGTTATCATTGCATGTTCTGACTTTGTAATATATTGTCGATAGTTTTAAAATGAAATATGATAAAGAAACGTGTTCTATCCAACTATGCATTTAAATCAGGGTCATTTGTTATCAGTTGACTCCTTTGTGTGACCTGATACAGGTATATATATTTCTCACGTTCAGAATTAAGAATTTTTATCTAGCTATTATCTACAATCAATTTAGGGGTATAGACAGTAAGAATATTGCGTGCAACAAATAGACCATATAAACAGGTAGTATACATTGGAGATTTAAATCATTTTAAAATAGGTATGTCATGCAGTTACTCAATACACTGATGACAATTATTTTAATCGAATCAACAAGGAAAAGAAAGCAAGGATTGTCCTCGATCCGTTCTCCACACAAATCAGGTTTAGAAAAGAAAAACATTATAAAAAGAATTGAAAAATTATATTTATATTGCATTTTTAACAATAATAATAATAATAATAATAATAACAAATCAATCATTTAAATAGTCTTTATATTATTGAAACCATAATTGCTCAACGTTAAATGGAAATATAATAGGTAAGAGAAGCTACTTTTTTTTTAAATTCTAAAACTTTTGAAGCGAAATATGCAAATGAAGACTATATTAATAAAAGTTGTCATTGAATGTGTTAAAAATAATGTTATTCAAACGAATTGTTTTGATAAGCCTGCCAGCAACCCAAGATATGCACGACAAAAGATAAGATCGTAGTACATGTACCTGTGTTATATTGTGTTTGAATTATTCGTTCCTTCTAATAACTTTTTAAATTAAATTTTTTAACTGTTTTTTCTTTTTTTTTTTCATCCAGAAATATGTTGACATTACACGTAAGTATATCAGTCAAAAAAAGGCAAACCAAGTTAAAAACAATCAATCAAATGATTTCTACAGTTGTTTTGATTTTTGTTTTTTTTTTATTGATAGCGAATACAATCATTTCCTATTGTCATATTGTGAATTATTGTCACGAATAGGTTTCAATTGTCGTAACTACAGTCTTGTTCTCTTTTATTTGATTATAACATCACCGAATGAGACATTTTTAACGAACGTTTAGTTGAATGAGCAACATGACTGGGTCATATGTGGAGCATGAACTGCCTATCATACGGGACCATTTCAGTTCACCTCTGTTTTTTTTTTTTTTTTTAATTCGTGTTGCTCAGTCTACAGTTTACTGTGTAGTGTTTAAAAAACGTGGTTGTTTTTTTGCCGTTTTTTTACCATGGCGTTGTCAGTCTTTTGTGGACCTAGGAGTTCTAAATGCCACAATGTTATTGTTTGTCTTAATTGTTGAACAATAAATCATTTACAAAAGTAGAAGAACATTTGTTTGTTTTCAGAGGAGAGGCAGAAGATGTCAAAGAGATATTCAAAATCATCAATCAAAATCAAACTGACAATGTCATAGCAAATTCAAGATTTGTTTTCATTTACTAATTCGATGTACTCTCTCAATAGTGGTTAACAACGATATAACATCTTAAATTGTAATAACTCTTGAAAATCGATATCAAACAGCTTAATACATAATTTCCTTGTTTAAATATTTCAGTATATTACTGCTTGTGTTCTGTGTGTCGTAGTGCACTCCAGCCCACCAGGTAAACTTTGTTGATTACAAATTGTTTTATAATTTATTGGCCGAAATGTGACAAACCATATGTAAAGTATTCTAAATAGTTCTGACGACACCTAAAATACAAGGTGTATATCATAGATTTTTTCAGACATTTTTAAACCATTATACATAAACGTACTGGTACATGTACATTGATACGTGTTATCTAAAACAAGACAGTTGGTTCACTAATTTTCATTCTTTTTTTCACATTTCTTGATCAGTGTGGGAAAAAAAATTTCTCATTTCTAGAGAAAACTTTGTTCTCGGCAATTAATTTGTCGAAATTCAATTCTGACGTAACTTTCCTTGGTTTCTTCTGCATTTCCTATTATGACGTCATAAAAAAGGCGATCATGCATGCTGACGTCACATATAAAGAACCAAACTTTTAGCAAATCGTTGAAAAGGAAGGATAAATTGTGTCCATATCTAATAATTCATTATAGAAACAGATTTCACCGCAAGAATTCGTGTATTGCGATATTCATGATATTTCTTCACCCTCAACCGTAAAATTTTAAGTATTGAAAAAGCTAGACACGCCTCGAGCTTTAAATATGAAGGTTTAACGGTTTAGATGGAGAAATATCGTAACACACTTGATGCAGTGGTGGAGTCTATTTTTCACTTGTTCCTTTGGTTGATTAAGTTTGATTTTGTGAATTGTTTGGGCCTTCTTCTTTTCGAATTTAGCTAGTAGTTTGGTAATTTGCTTTTTTTTTGTTTTTTGTTATACTTTTTGGAGATGTAGATTATAAGATACAATAGAGTATTTGTGTGATTTTGGTGTCAATAATCATTATACTAATGAAAAAGACAAGAGCATATATATATATATTATATTTCAAATTCTATAGATGACCTTTCCGACAATAGTCACGATTGATTATGTGCTTTATATAGAATGATAACAAACATGCACTTTTAAGTAACATATTGGTTAATTAAAACGGAACAATTAAACAGATGATGCTGCAACTATGTTTCAGGTTGCTGCAAGACAGAATCTTTACTTTTGTCATGCATACCTCATTTTCTAGTTGGTGTAGAAATTCTTGCTATTCGTCTTGTTTTATGAAATAGCACTCCCTACCTATTTAACTTAATGTTAATTGTCACTGCTTTTTAACATATGAATGAACTATTAGATCCAGGTCTAATTCACCATTTTCTACATAAGAAAATGCCTGTACCAAGTCACGAATATGACAGTTGTTATCCATTCGTTTGATGTGTTTGAGCTTTTGATTTTGTCATTTGTTTAGGGACTTATGTTTTGAATATTCCACGGAGGTCAGTATTTTTGTGATTTTACTTTATATGTTAGCAGGCAAACAATCAATCAATATATCCATATTGACGAACATGTTTCCTAAGAAATATTTCAAACGTTTATCAATTTTTGTCTTTGACACGTACAATTTGGATCGTGCATTCATTTATACAGGTTTCTTTATTAACGTGATCATTGATCCATATCAATTATATGAATATATTTTTGTACACATATTTTACAATTTTACTTAGATAAAGAGAAATACCATTCTTTTATTAGAATTTTCAAAATACGTTGACATAAGGGGAAATTATATGAAACAATATATGAAAATACCCCTCTACTTTTGAATTGTACAACATAGTTAGAAACTTGATACCTGCTTAAAATTGGCTGAGAAGCCTCGTGATTCAAATATTGCTGTTCATTTTAAAGATTTGTATGTATGTCATAATCCGGGTTATTCTTATTATTGTCATATGATTAAGAGTTATTAAATCCTAAAGAAAAATATCTCAAGTTTCATTATACAAATTGCACGTCTGTGTATGTATATGTGATGTGGTGCATGCATAATTAATTTGTCAAACATTCTTTATATCCGATAAGCGAAACTTACGTTTGGACTAAAAGTAACATGAATATTTCAGGTTATTCCAAAAATGTTTTGAATGAAGTCAGGAATCATATTGAAAGATCAGAATTAGATGATGTGGACTCATTAGATGATCAAGCTGGTAATGTTAAATTAAAATATATTTGACTTTTGTTTTGGAGAATTTCTGAATGACTGTGTATAATAAAACATAACTTAAAAGAAGCTTGATAAATAAAGATGTATAGAAACAACTCGGGCTACATTGAAATGTCTCGAACTACTCTAACCTGCATGGTAGCTGTACATATTTAAGGGGTGGATTTACTCACAATAAAAAAAAATATATGATAAAGGTTAAACACATATTTGTCAATGATGTTCGACCTTAATATAAACAGATTACAAAATTTAATATTCAAATCATTGATTTATCTCAGTATACTTTTAAAAATATGTTTCTTTTATTGGCGTTGGCTGTCGATACTTTTCAACTTGGTAACCTATCTATTGTTCCATTTTTTTTTCAATTCCAGTGCGACTGGCGAGTCCAGCGTTCGAATGTGTTAGAGATTATTAGATTTATGTGTACTCGCTACGGAACAGCAGAAACGCTGTATAATGTGTTGATAAAGCCCGTATAAACTGTGTTTTTTGCATTGCTTTGAGTCAACCTCCTTTTTATTTCTGATGGTTCGAAATGGAAACACTTTTAGTAAAATCTAGGCTTATTCTAAGACCGTTTCGACTAAATTAGTAAAGACCAAAAGCTTCTCCCAAGTTGATTTTGTGTCAGAAAGTTCATAAACATAATTAGCAAGAAATTTACAGCCTATGTTAATATCTTTTTGAACGACTTGTGTGCTTTTTATAATTTCTCATCTTCTTGGGTCGCACTCTCTATGCATGGCTAAATCACCAGTAAATGTTCCCCATTTACATCCTCAATTATACAATTAAAAAGATTTGCTCATTTTTAGAAAATTGTATTTCATTATACGGCAATTGTGGCACTAAATCAAACTAACTTCTCCCTTGATTATGTTGGAAAAGGTCGGTCAGCTTATATATAAAACTTTCAATTTACAAAACTAACTGAGAAGATATTGTGTTCTAGTAAAAAGCATCAGAAATCAATGTAAAAAAATCTTGACTTAGATAATAATTGTCTGCTTTAGATACACGCAATGTACATAGTAACATAAGTAAGAAGGCAATGTGGAATTTTTCCAACCAGATGATTGCAATTTTTGGGATCAGTCGTGCTATCTCACTTCTGGATTATGGTTGTTATTGTGGAAACGGTGGTGCAGGAACACCAGTAGACGGTATAGATCGGTAAGTTTACGGATGTGTCTTCGTATCAGATTGTCATTATTTCAATCCTATATCTCGACTGAAAGCGAACTTACCAGCTGCCATTTTGTTTCACTAAAAATGCATTCAACGCATATTGTACATGTTTATTTCAAATTGAAATTTTGATTTTGATGGTAGTATTTTTGGACAATATTTTTTAACGAACATATCTAGTCAGAAAACCAAATATTCTGATAGTTCAAGGTTTAAATACAACTCATTATCAATCCTCCAAACATTGAAATGAGTCATGATAATTTCGAAAAAAGGAAACGGTGTTCATTTGTAACCAAAAGAAATGGAAACAATCCAAGAAAAGGATAGGAAGTTAAGACGATATTTCGGTTTAAGTAATTGAATACCGAAAACCAAACTTGTCATATTTTTGTGAAGCACTTTGTTGGTAAACTATTGTTATGTATTTACCATTAGCTTACAGTAATGTATTGCAGATACAACATCTGTATGCAACTGACCTAGCAATGAGCTACTCTTGGTTGTACCTCAGGAATTTCTTCTATTATACCGTACTATTTTAAATAGTTTTTGTCATAACAAAATAATAGAATAGATCATTTTCAATATAAAAGGGTTGATTGATATTATAGCTTGTGGTCGCATTCAAGTTGTAAGCATATGATATACATTTAAGGTGCTGTCAAGTCCATGACAAATGCTATGGCGATGAAGAAGGCTGGTGGTGCCGGCCTAAAGTGCAAGCATATCGATACAAGATTATGTATGGTAGAACAGTTTACTGCAAAGGTAAATTTGCATAGACTTCCCAAAATGGCCCTATTCAGTGACAGTGTAAACAATTATAAAAAAGATATCTATGATATTGTTAAATAAGGTAATGAAATTTAAAGTTGGCTTTTATATTCTATATGACATATTTCTGGAAAAAAAATATATGATATGATATTAATCATGTTAATTGCGCCATAATTTATTAAATTTGTTTATGTTAAAATATGTCTTTATCTCAACGTGTAACTAAAAATGCAAATTTTCACAATTTTCTTTTCTTTATTTGGTAAGCTCAAATATGCTAACGACTTTTAAAATGAACGTGTTTTTTTTTTCTTCAAAATGATATAATGGTCACGTTAAAGATTATATCTTTATCGAACTATCTTATCCATCTACATTATAACCTTACTGCACGATCTTACCAATCTATATTATAACCATATCGCACTATCTTACCCATCTACATTATATTTTTACCGCACTATCTTACCAACCTACATTATAACCTTATCGCACTATCTTACCAATCTACACTATAACCTTACCGCACTATCTTTCACCCAGCTACATCATAACCTTACCGCACTATCTTACACTTCTACATTATAACCTTACCGCACTATCTTACCTATCTATATCATAACCTTTCCGCACTATCTTACCAAGTTACGCATAACCTTACCGCACTATCTTACCCATCTACATTATAACCTTACTGCACTATCTTACCCATCTACATTATAACCAACCGCACTTTCTCTTACCCATCTACATCATAACCTTACCGCACTATCCTACCTATGTACATTATAACATTATGGTACTATCTTACCAATCTACATTATAACCATACCGCACTATCATACCCATCAACATTATACCCTAACCGCACTATCTTACCTATCTATGTCATAACCTTTCCGCACCATCTTACCCAGCTACATCATAACCTCACCGCACTATCTTACCCATCTACACTATAACCTTATAGCACTATCTTACCTATCGATATCATAACCTTTCTACACTGTCTTACCCAGCTACATCATAACCTTACCGCACTATCTTACCCATCAACATTGTAACCTTACCGTTTTATCTTACCCAGCTACATCATAACCTTACAGCACTATCTTACCCATCTACATCATAACCTTACTGCACTATCTTACCTATCTACATTATAACCTAACCACACTATCTTACCCATCTACATTATAACCAACCACACTTTCTCTTACCCATCTACATCATAACCTTACCGCACTATCTTGCCTATGTACATTTTAACCTTATGGCACTATTTTACCCATCTACATTATAACCCTACCGCACTATCTTACCCATCTACATTATATTTTTACCGCACTATCTTACCCATCTACATTACAACCTTACCGCACTATCTTACCCATCTACACTATAACCTTACCGCATTATCTTTTACCCAGCTACATCATAAACTTACCGCACTATCTTACCCATCTACATTATAACCTTTTCGCACTATCTTTCCCATCTACACTAAAACCTTACTGCACTATCTTACCTATCTATATCATAAAATTTCCGCACTATCTTACCCATCTACATCATAACCTTACCGCACTATCTTACTCATCTACATTGTAACCTTATCGCACTATCTTACCCATCTACATTATAACCTTACCGCCCTATCTTACCCATGTACATTATAACCTTACCGCACTATTTTATCCATCTACGTTATAAACTTAACGCATTATCCTAACCATTTTCATTATAAATTGACTCTTACTTGTATGAGGTAACGTATTCAAAACCCAATACATCGAATTAAAAACGCTAGTAAGGTTATTTAAGAAATATTTCATTGGGCTTGAATTTATCGTGATTTTACATGGGTTGGCTTTTTATGCTAAATATTTTACCACGAGCGCCAGCGTCATAAGACGTGAGGTACATCATTCATAATAAGCATCCGACGTGAGAGTAGATCAGCTGACATATGAATGTATTAAAATTTTACAACGAACGTGTAAAGCTTTTAAAAAACGTCATATTATAATTTGTATTATTCAGATGTAAAATCTTTATAGAGTCAATTGCTGCAAACAAATTGGTTCTGGGACGAAAGACAAAGTTTACTTTTGGCAAACATTTTATTTGAATTTCAAGAAATATTCCAAAGGCCACAAATTGAGCCTTAACTTAACTATGTTAAAGGTCTAAAATATATTTAGAATTAATATCTTTAAGAGAGTTAATTATAGATACCAACGTCAGCACATGTTTGGGTTTTCACAAGACAATGATGTTGAGCATTTTTGAACAGTAAAGCTTATGGTAGGAACCTCTTGGCCTACGATCCGAAAAGTGCTTTAACAAAACAGTGCAAATGTTCATATTGAATCCATAAGCACAAACAGGTCAGGGGTTGTGGCAAAATTAAACTATGCTAAATAAACTGCCAAACATTAGAGAAAAATTGGACTGAAACTGACGTAATAGCGAAAGTAATACATATTTAAGTGGTCATAATTGCTAAATATATATGAAGAAGATAGGTTGCATTGGTAGTAATTTCAGATCTAGAACTATATACTTATCAATATTTGTGTTTTGCCTGATTAGAAAAAAATAATGCCAATTGTACGCCTTCGTGCAACTATTCCTTAATACACATCCTGATTTTTTTTGATTTTTTTTCAGATAGTTATGGTTCCTGTAAATATAGAGTGTGTAGGTGTGACAAGTTGTTTATAGATTGTCTACACAGAAACACATACAATCAAGCAAACTATAACAACTGTTAATGAAATGATCACATACTGTAAACCAACTAATTTTTGCGATCGATTTATTTTTGCGGCTTTCGCGAGTAGAAAATAACGCGAAAATAAATATTTGCGAAAATTTAAAACTTAGCTCTTTCCTTATCTAACTACATCAGGTAAATATGAAAATTGACAAATTAGATCGCTGCAAAGTGGACTGGAAAAGGTTAAACGCGAAATAAAGTATTCGCGAAAATACGTTGGTATACAGTACAAAATGCAGTATATCATGTATATTTTCTTAAGTTCACTGGGAGCAGTAGCCCTGATCTTATAAGCTTAACTAGTGCAGAACAATAATTTGGGAAAATTAGGGGTTTATGAATTAAATTTGTGACATGGGTTCTATCATCTTTATTCAATTGTTAACTAATTTAAAGAATTATATTGAACAATTGGATATTTTTCAAAAACCTCATACTCGCTTTTCTAATGTGTATTTCTTTTCCGCCACAAAATAGAACACAGAACGTATAATAAGTTAAAATTTGGGAGAAGTATATTACATGTTTGTATTTAAATTTCATTAAAGGGTCAAAATGGGAATTTTTGTGAGGAAAAACACAAACAAAGTACGTTCACATGAATTCTGGGATCGACTTATATGTATATATTTTATGTGATTGTTGTAAGATTGGGGCTTCTGTTTCCGATGTGTATCCAAGTAGCTATATGAACTTTATCTTCTTGTTATAATATCTTATCTTAAAGATGTCTGAGTTATCCATTCTTTTTACAATAATCTTATGAATCTTATGATTGTGCAAAATGTAACGTATGCTAACCTTCGATTCATATGATTAACAATTTAACAATAATCTAATGACACTGATCTGCATATTGTAACTTATCTTACATTTAACTGAAAATAATCAAGAATTTTAGAGTAACCGTCATTCTTTTGTTATAAGTCAACGCTAATTCTGTGAAAAATACCTCAGTCTTTAATTATCTTTAATTATCTTATTACAGTACCGACAATTTCGTACAAAGAGAGACACCTTAAAACAGTTTCATTATCTGCGGATAAATCATCGTCTTGCATGCTTAGTACTTTGCTTCTGAAAATTTATAGAGAATGGTGTGTTCTTTTGTCCATTACTTCAGCATCTGATAATAAGCCTGTCCTTCCGTCCATTCATATATATGCACTATGCTACTGCTACATTGAGGCCTTGCCCTTAACATAACTGTAGATAAAACATTGCATTTTTCGAAATGCTAAGGAATAAACATTTCATAAATTTAAAACATTTCATACATGTATGTAGCAACATTCAAGCATCGCCTGCATATGGTATATATATCTCTGAGTTGACACGATATTCCAGGGCTTGCATTTCCATCATAAGATCATTGATAGAGGTTTGATGCTCAAAAGAAGGCTAGTTAACCAAGAGTTCAAAGTAGTCAAGTTGAAATAAATCTTTCGTATATTTTTTGCAAGCAATCACGAGTTGGTTGAACGTTATGGAATATTTGTTTCACAGATGACGACGGACGTGTTCCAACTATTGTGACCACAATCCCGTCCCCTTTTCCCCGAATGTGACCTACCGTATTAGACTTACATGTATCACGGGTTTGAACTTACATGAGCAACAAGGCGAGTGCAACATATGAAGCAGGATTCCCTTAATATACGGAGCACATGAGGTCACTCCCGGTTTTTATTGGCGTTCATGTTGCTAAGTCTTTAATTTTCTATGTGTTCTGTGTTTCGTGTACTGTTGTGTGTTTTGGTTATTTAGGTCGTAGTCATATATTTCTCCTGACATGATGTCAGTTTATTATTGTTACTTTATCATTTTCCATGCACAAAACATGAAAAAAGAAATTAAATATGCTACATTATGAGCGTTATCAATGGTAGGTGCAAATGACGTCATAATCATGAAAATAAGCAAAAATACAGAAATTTTTATGGTTTTCCTACTTTTTGACCACCGCATCATGCTTGCACCAATTTGAAAGTTCATAAATATCAAACTTCAGATAAAAAATCTTTTTGGTACAAGGTTGGTGCGATAGTTTATTTTATATTTTTTCATAGCCAAACGGAGCAATAAAAAGCTGAAATTTGCTTTTAAAATGAGAGCTATTCCTCTAAAAAGGTTTAATTTATACATTCGTATGCCTATATGAATGCTTCTTTTTTGCTTATGAATCAGTAACATGTATTTCTATTTTTTTCCCGTAAGTATACCTAGTTTAACTTGAAAAAAACAAATCCAAAAGCAATGAATTACACAATGTAAGGGAGTCAACTATAACTTTGAATAAACAAAAAATTGTAAGCATGTAATCTTAGATAGACATGCAATATAACAAAACCTGTACATTTCTAATGTTTCTGCTAATCTCAATTCAAAGTTTGGTGTCTGGAATGGGGCAACCTCCTCTGGTATTAGGGTCAGGATTTATGAAAGAAACGGGGGGGGGGGGGGGGGGTGTAATTCCAAAGAAAACCAAGTATACCGATAAATTATTTAAATGATTAAATGCTTAAATCTACATAATTGATGGAAAACATGAGATTCATTTAGAAAATGATGCCACTCTTATTCAAATTTGATATGTATTTGGTGGTAGTAAGCATTGTGTACAAGATGTTTGATAAAATTTGGTTGTGGCAAAGTAAAGTAGGAGAACAGAAACAGCAAAATCGCTGATTTTTCCGCTTATAAAGGGACATTTCTCCAGAACCGTGCAAGTGACACCACCCAAATTCTAACTTGATCTGTGCTAGGTGGTAAAAATGATTGTGTATTAGTTTTAGAACATTTCGTTGTGGACAAGTAAAGTTAGAGAAAGGAAACCAATTTTTGGACATACAGATCGACAGTGGTAACCCGTAATTAATCCGGATCCTTTTACTCAAAATCATATTTTTTACCATTCACATTCGCTCCCTCTCCTGTTCCAATCGCACCTGTTCGCACCCTGGGTCTGTTCCCACCCTACACGTCTGCACCCTTTTTTAAGGTTATGTTTTGAATATGTTTTTAATCATGCTTTACTATTGTACTATAAAATAAAGATTATAAGTGTTCTTATTATTTAAAAATAAAGTGAAATTCTAAAAATGTAAACCGGTTTTGTTTTGTAAATTATTTTGAAATAATAAATAATGAATAATGTCATTATGATCAAACGCCAAGTCATACGTCTCTTAGACTTGTAAAAGAAAGGCGGAAGATTCCAAACAAATATTTAACTAGTCACAGTGACAACATCGAATAAATCGAATACAATATATAGAGAATAGAGAAAAATTTAAAGAATACACATATGAAGGACCCAACCTCTACCATTTCTAGCTTTGTTGTATATCATACTTGTCCAAATACACACCCGTACGAGAAAAGGTGGCGAAGCTGTTAAACATGTTAAAAACAATTATATCACATGTTGTCTATTTAAAATCCTCATTGTGTTAACACGTACCAAGCTCCAACGAAGCCAAACTACTTGTATTTTACTTTACATCACTATCAATTCAATTCTTTATTGTTATAAGACCAAATAAGCTTTGTAAATACTATTAAAGTAATCATAAATAATTAATCATTTAATCACCCAAAACATTATTTCATCCAAAAATTCACAAATTTTTATACATCTGAAAATACAAATGTACATTTAATAATTCAACTTGTATTTGAATAAAAATAGAGTCCAAACATGTAGGGTGCGAACCAATCCATGGGGTGAAGGCGAATGTGTAGGGGTGCGAACGTATAGGGTACGAATGTGTTTTGGGAGCGAACAGACCCGATTTTATTCGTAATGTCCCCTCCGCCACGGCAGGCGGACCCATTAATTAACGACAAGAAGTATTTTAGTAACAAGAAGAAAACAATTAGCGAAAAGAAGAAAAAAAAATGCGACAAGAAGACAAATTTAGCAACAAGACACTTTATATACTATCTAACCAATAAATTAATAGAAAAAGTCAATTAGTTACATCTAATTATCTGTTATTTAAAAAGGTTTCAAATTTTTTTATTACTTAGTAGCACGTAACAGTTTTGTAATGCTATATGTACACATGTAAGTTCCTTTTGAGATATTAAGTTAATTTTATATTTTGGTTTGAATTTTGAAAATGTCAACCTGTCGACCCTCTACATAAGTACTGTCATGAAAATACACTGATATTGAAAAAAAAACACCCTCTTATGCATGTTTCTATATTAATTTTTATTTAAGATAATTAATATTATGATTTCTTAGAGTTGTATTATTCTTCTTGACGCTAATTAGTGAGACCCAGTAGAGGGGTAATTAAAAACTTAAAAGGACTCCACCCAGCACTAGATATTAAATCTGTTAATATCAGCAATACTTGGTATAATTATCAGAATATATAAGATGTACACGTATTGATTCAAACTGACCATTATTCCGTGCGTTCATCGTGTATCGTGCGTGTTGCGTGCGTGTATCGTGCGTGTATCGTGCGTGTACCAATCGTGCGCTCATCATTCATCGTTCCGTGTATTTTCCGTGTAACGTGCGTGCATCGTGTATTCTTAATCGTGTATGGTGCGTGTATCGTGCGTGTATCGTGCGTTCATCAATCATTCATTCTTAACCGTGTATCGTGCGTTCGTCAATCGTGTATAACTGTGTACTGCAGATAACGTTCATTCATTGCGGTTTTTATATGATAGTCGGTTATAGAGCTCATCAAAGCTTATATTTTATCTCACGGTTAAAGTGTATATATATGTTCCGACTTTAAATAAAATTTACATTCATACTTACTTTCTTGTGAACACTTAATTAACTTCATCGTACATAACGTTCATACAGATTCATGAATTTTTGTGTAAAATTTATTTATCATCTGTAAACATTTCGTGGTTATTCAGTGAATCTTGGCTGGGACTGACACATTTTAATATAATGATACATGTTCTACGTACAAACATTAACATGATGACATTTCTACGACAGAACAGTTAAAATTGGAATTTATATTCAACTGAGCGAAATGGGCTTAAAAATATACTGTTAGCCAACTGTTATTTGTTAAAAAATATTCCGCCAATTTAAAAACAACAGTGCTTTTGCAAAATTTAGATGTGGGGTAGCTCCACTAAAAATAGAAACTGGAAAGTATGAAAGAAAAGAAGTCCACGAGATGACATGTGCTGTAGCTCTACTATTGAAGATGAACTTCATGTCATTTTAAAATGCCCATTATATGTAGATTTAAGACAAATTATGATACATTAAGCTAAACATTTTAATGAACATTTTAACCTTTAATTATCAGATAGCGAAATATTTTTATTTAATAACGGCAATGTTGCTGCTATAGTTGCCAAAAACATCAACAATATTTCATTGAAAAGAAACGGCATTTTATTTCCTAGTTCTCAAAGAAAAAATGTTTTATTTTCATATAGTACAGGTGGACACTGTAAATTTGAAATGTAAATGAGTAAATCTATTGTGTCTTAAAAGTCTCTCATTATTCTTTTTAAGATTGGTACATACAATGCAAATGTTTTAATGTTTTATGTTTATTTCTGTGATTCTCATTTTATGTTTGTATGTGGTGAGACTATAATAAAATATTGAATCAGTATTAACATGATTAATGTTCAACTTGAGTCATTTCTCCAATGTTGAACAATGCACGATTATAATTCTTAGCTTATTTGGCAAATTCATATTCTACTAAATATTCAAACATTTAAGTTTTGATAAAAACCATTACAAATATAATGTTTGTCTTCGTTTCTGATGGTCACGTGCACGTAAGGTTATTCCATTGAGAAAATACAATATACAAGATTGTCGGGTAAATGTGGATTGCGGATTAAGATTTTAGATGTCAAACTTGAATTAACAAATTAAACTGAGGCGAATTTTACACGAATATGTATTTTCTCTTCAACAGTGTTTTTATTCTCTGTTCTTTATTTTCATTTAAAATAAGCTAAA